GGTGCGTACCCCTTTAAGAAGGAGCTGCTCGAGCGCTGACGGTTGGGATTTGAAGTTTTTCCTCCCTCTTTGGAAGTCTGGACGGAATGGGGGGGCGTTGCCATGGCGACGGCACCCCCTCTCCCCTTGCGGACGCCCCGACGCCTCTGGTCCTCTCGGCCTGGTCATGTGATGGCCCCTCCGGTGTGTGCGGAGACACACACGCACATGCACACCCTTCCCACCTCGCGTCCCCCCGGCCCGCGCGCCCTCGTCCCCGGCCGCCTCCCCGTTTTGGCGGGGTCCGGTTGGCGTCCCTGCAAACTTCGGGAGCTCGAGGTGGTGGGGTCCTCTCTCCCCCGAACCACCACCGCCCCGACCCCCAGCCTCGCTGTGGTTGTTTTATTTGCCCGTGTGAGCTGGGACTGGGACTTGCACGCCCGGAGCTGCCAGCCTGCAGGTCGGTCGGGTGTGTGGGCTGGGAGGGGCGCCCCGGGGCCGCGGAGGGAGGGCGCCTGGGAGAGGCTGGGGGTCGTCTCGGGGGGGTCATGGGACAGCCTTGGGGCGTTCGTGTGGACTTGGGGCGACCGCGGGGGTCCCCGCTGGAAGCCGCGCGCTCACCTGGCTCTCCAGATCCGCTCACGCGCCCCTGCCTTCCCGCGGCGCCTCCCCGACGGCTGGGGCTGGAGCGCGAGGATCTCGCCTGTGTGCACCGCTGAGAAGGCGGCGGCGGCGGCGGTGGAGTCAACTAGTGCAACTTCACCTTCGCCGCTGTGCGCTGCAGAGGCCCCTGGCCGCAGGGAAGGTACGCGAAGGAGGGGTGCTCGGTGGAGGGGTCCTCGGTGGAGGGGTGTTTAAGTGACTTCCCGGCAACCTTCTCTTCTCACTTGCTTTTGGGCATGTTGCTCGGAAAAGCTGTTCCTTGCAGAGGGACATCATGCTTGGAAAGGTGGAGGGACTACGAAAGGGAATTGACAACCAGGTGGATTGACTTGACAGGGTGACTGCAGCGGTGGGCTGTGTGTCAGAAACGATGATGAGGATGGCGCAGGACAGGACAGGTCTGTTGCTGATAGATGGGGTCGTTAAGAGTCAGACTCAACTTGATGGCACAATAACAGCAGTAACTCTTAAGGAACGGATTGTCTTCTTACGCTAAAAAAAAAAACAAAAAACACCACAACAACAACAAACATAAACACCAAAAAAACCCCCAAAACCCTTAGTGGGAAATAGCTTAAGTCAGGTATGCACAGGTGATTTTAATTCTTCTTTAAAAGCGTGGGAAAAGTTCAAAATGTAAAATAAATGTTGGCAGTGCTTCTTGAGTGCAAATCACCCCTCCTTCTTGGTGGTGGGACACACACATTTGCTTATGCAGAGATCTCTTTTCCAAGAAAAACCGGTTAAATTGTTGAATCCATTCCGCTGGAGGCAGACAGAATGACAGCATTCACACTTGCTCAGGATACTACTCTACTGTTAAGTTTTGCCAAAGCAAGGCACATCATGATTTTGAGGATTGTTGATGCTCCTTTACATTTTAGAATACTTCCGTTTCCCCTTCATCTTTCCGCTTAGTTAGAAGCAGTATCCCTCTGTATCACAAAAATATGTGTAATTTTGCAAAAGAGGAAAATTTTATGAGGAAGTGAAACAAAATTGATTGGAGGGTGGTGTATTGCCAGGCATCAACAGATCTTTCTGCCATACCTTCTTGAATACTCAGGATCAAAGATACTGAAAATTTAGACAATGTAATCCTGCAGGCCCTTTAGGCTGTTTGCATGTTACACTTGTGGAGGAGGTGGGGAAAAGAACATTTACTGGCCTCTGACCGCCTG